CGCTAAGCAGACACTTGCTGATTCCTCTGTGATTTCAGGGTCCTGGTTATTTCTCTCACCTGGTGCAAGAGGCAGTCACAGCAGGTTCTTCTCTTCGTCCTCGTACGTACGTCACGGTGCCCGACCCATGGGCATGAGTGCTTGCCTTGAGGGAGTCCCCCACGCCCTCCCAGGAGTGGAGGGCAGAACTGGAGTCGCACGCCTGGGAATGCGGTGTGCACAGGTGCTCTGAGCGAGCAGGAAGCACCTCTCCCAGGCGGGCTGTGGGTGTCTCGCAGGTGGACAGAGCAGTGCTGGGCAAGTGAGGTCCTCAGACGCGTGCCAAGCCCTGACCTGATGCTCTGGACTCCCAGCTGGAGAATCGGGAGAGGTGACCGGAGGGTTTCTGTGGGCCTGGGCTTGTGTGGCGTGACGTGGAGGGGGAGACAGCGGGTATGGATCTCGCGCTGGGCACCGCGTGAGAACCCTGGGTCCACGGCTGTGTGGCGCCTGCCCGGCTGGGAAGAGAAAGGCTGGGAGCGCGTGACCGCGAGCTGGAGAACGTAACATTGCTGCGAGTCGAGTCCTCGCGACCATTCCTGGGGCCTACTGTTCAGATGTCGTTCAGGCTGCAGGTGTGCTCCAGGTCACACAGCCGCGTTGTCACCGCGGGGCAGGGATGTTGGCTGGGTTTCTGTTTTTAGAAAGTGCTGTTCCCTGGTGATGTCCAGTACATCGTGCGTTGCTATGGGAACTGATCTTTGCCTGGAAGCCAGGGTGATGCAGAGGATAAAGAATGCGTGTCTGAAGGGTCCCCACCTTTTTCCCGGGGAGGTGGGGAGTCGTCCATTCTGCGCAGGTGAGTGCGTGGTGCCCTCCTGAACAGCGAGGCCAGGCACAGCTGGCTGTCATCACTCGTCAGCTGCAGCTGGCGCCATGACTGTGTGGCTCTTTGTGGCCTGACGCCTGTCTGTGTGGAGCTTCGAGTCTTGCTCATGGTGCTTTCTAAGGACTGGGCCGGTTGTGCTCTCTCACACCTGGATTTCTCCTCCACTGAGAGCCAGGGAAGGGGCCCCGGAAGGCAGCTCGTCTCCCAGGGCATCTCTGTTGGTCCCCTCCTGAGTGGCCCTGGACTCTCCCCATGTGGCTTTTCTGCCGACTCGGTTTTCATGTCTGTGCTGGTGGAAGGTGTCCGTGGTGTGCCGGAGACGTGCCCCGGGCTAGCTTGCTGTATAATCCACAGAGAGGCACGGGTGCGCCTGACCTCGGGAAGCAGCAGGTATAAGGGAAGTTCAACTTCAGAGAATGTTGGGCGGAGAGCGGAGTGTGTACAGAGGAGAGCGTGACAAGTCCTAATGTACCATCCACACCAGACGCGAAACAGCATTGTGGATGTGGTTCCGTCCTTGTTCCGGAGCTCTCGGCTTGGCCAGCCGCTGTCAGACCTGACCTTGGCCTCCAGGCCCTCCTGTCCAAGGATGCAGCACTCACCAACATTGCATCCCCACAGTCACCAGGGGCCCCGGTGCACAGTTGCTGGCATGGGATCCACACCCAGTGTGTGCAGTAAGAAGTCCTGACTCGCTGCTTGCTTGGCCCACTGAATTTTTCTGCTGCTTCGGTTTCCTCATCTGTAAGATGGGTACAATGGTGATTGTGAAGAATAAACGAGATCCTGTATGTAAGTCACGTGGCGGGGTGCCTGCTTACCTGTGCCTGTTACCACCAGCGTCACCGTCATCACCATGGCCCTTCCTGTGCCAGGATGCTGTCCCAGTCACTCCCATGGCTGGTCCCGGGGGCTCTTGGGTTTCTCTCAAGGAGAGGAAGCTGCCTCTGGCTGCAGCTCACCGGGCATCCTGAGTCGCTGGTGGCCACAGACAGGGCCACACCCACCTTCTGGGCACCTCGTTGCCTCCTGCTGTCCCCCCCACCATTTGCCGAGTGCCGGGGCTGCCTGACACCTGCCCCTGCTGTGTGGGTCAGGTGCCGCACCGAGCCCTCCTGCCTCAGGGGGTACCTGGGCCAGGCTCAGGATACAAAGAACTTGTAGGCAGCCAGAGAATGGGGTGTCCTGCCCGAGGTCTTGTGACCAGCTGGCACAGCAGGAGTGTTCGCGTGTAAGAGCACCAGGCGTTAGCCAGCCACGGAAGCACAGGACGATGAGCTGCGAGCAGGCAGGCCTCTGCTCCAGGAAGATGTCTGTACCGACGAGTTGTCACTTTATTATGGAGATGCTGCGTATTGCACAAAAAATAGACAACACAGATTCCTAAAAAATTGTGGAGAGAAGGTTTCTACAACTCTGCCTTTCATGCTTCTGAGTTTCTGTCTACACGAGACATGCATGCACATGCACGCACACACATGTACAAAGTACACACGAACACAAACGTACGCACATATGTGCACACACGTGTGCATTGTATACTTTGCCCAGGGAGAGAAGGGGTTAAGCACACTGGCTCCGTCTTTGTGGTCTGCAGCTTCCAGCTCTGGCAGCTGCACAGGTTCACCAAGGGCGGCTTCTGGCCAGAGGCCTCACGTAGGGCTGGTGATGGGAGGCCTGGGAGGCTCAGCTGTCAGGAAAACCTGCAGCTCAGAGCTGAGCCGTCAGCATCTCAGAGTCCCCTGGGCAAGCCCTGCCGTCTGTCCAGGCCTCAGTTTCTCCATCTGCAAACGGAGGGGCTGGGTTTGCTCTCTGCTGCTGCAGCTCTCGGTAGCTGCGGGTTGAATAGTCTGGAGTGAGACTGAAGATTGGGCATGGACCCTGATTGTCCCTGCACAGCCTGGTGAAGGCTGGCAGCTGTGCAGTCCCCAGGAGAGAGTTCAAGCATGTGTCCCTGGGCCCTCACCCCAGCCGCCTCCTGGGCTGAGGCCCGAGAATTTATTTGGGAGGCAGAAAAACACACACACACATACCCCTTCCATCAGCTAGTTCACTCCTCAAATGCCCAAAATAGCCAGGGCTAGGCCAGGCAAAGCCAAGAGCCAGGAACCCAACCCAGGTCTCCCATGCGGGTGGCAGGGGCGCAAGTACTTGAGCCATCACCTCTCGCCTCTCAGAGCTGCACTAACAGGAAGCTGGAGTCAGCAGCCAAAGCTGGGACTGATGTGAGACGCGGCTGCTAGCTCACCAACCGTGCCCTACCCCCAGAACCTGTGTCTTTGACCACCCCGTTCTCAAAGCCAGGTTTGGGCCCGGCTGCAGGGCTGGCAGCTTCTCCACAGTGCTCCACTGACCACACCCTAATTGGATTTAGCCCTGGCAGGAGGGTGTGGACAGCACTCCCCAACCCCATGCAGGAGACAGCTGGTGTGGCTGGGAGCCTGTGGGGGCCCAGCCCCAGGACACCCAGCAGCCCGGCTTCTGGAGCCCTGGGAGATGGCTCCCTGCTGTCGCCATCCCGCAGGCAGCAGAGCTGGGGCCGCCTGCCTGTCTGCCCCGGCGCTTTCTCTCTGCTGGCTTCTGTCACGTTCTGCCTCACACGGCGGCTTCTTGCTCCATGTGGTTTGGCTCAAGCATGCGAGGGCTCCGACCACCCTGGGCTTGTCCTGGGGACACGAGAGGCCTCTCCCTCCCCTGCGCCCTGTCCTTCCTCCTCTGTTCCTCTGATGCATCCGGGATATTGCTGCGGGAATCCCCGAGGACTTGGCGCTGTCATATCAGTGTGCTCTGGAGGCTTTTTTTTTACACTCGGAGCTTTTTTAATGCGTAAGGAGCTGGGTTCCCTTTCCCACGCCAGCACGACGCAGCTGGAGCTGAAAAGCTACAACCTCGGGACTGGCGTTGTGGTGCAGCGGGTGAAGCTGCCTCCCGCAACGCTGGCATCCCACATGGGCACCAGTTCCTATGCCGGCTACCCAACTTCCGATCCAGCTCCCTGCTAATCCACCTGGGAAAGCAGCAGAAGAGGGCCCAAGTCCACGGGCCCCTGCCATGCACCTGGGAGACCTGGATGAAGCTCCTGGCTTCAGCTTAACCGAGCCCTGGCCGTTGCAGCCATCTGGGGAGTGAACCAGTAGCTGGAAGATTCTGTCTCTCCCTAACTCTGCCTTTCATATGAAATAAATAAATATGTTTTTTAAAAATAAAAGTTGTGTCATGCTGCATCCACAATGTGGACTAGAGATTCTGATCCTAATCCTTTATATATATATATATATATATATAGACAGGCAGAATGGACAATGAGAGAGAGAGACAGAGAGAAAGGTCTTCCTTTTGCCGTTGGTTCACCCTCCAATGGCCGCCGCGGCTGGCACGCTGTGGCCGGCGCACCTCGCTGATCTGATGGCAGGATCCAGGTGTTTCTCCTGGTCTCCCATGGGGTACAGGACCCAAGTACTTGGGCCATCCTCCACTGCACTCCCGGGCCATAGCAGAGAGCTGGCCTGGAAGAGGGGCAACGGGGACAGAATCCGGTGCCCCGACCGGGACTAGAACCTGGTGTGCTGGCGCTGCAGGCAGAGGATTAGCCTAGTGAGCCGCGGCACCGGCCATATATTTTTATACTGATGTTTGCCCACATTATTCTATGTAACGCTTGCAAGAATGAAACCAGAGGGGGGAACCCTGCATGTTCTCTGCATCGTCTCACAATCAGCATTCCCTGCAGACTTGATCCCCAGAGCCTCACCCCATCTCACTGAACCGCGACCCTCGGGGGCCCAGGGTGCGGGTTTCTAGAAGGATCTCCGGGGAGATTCTTGGTACACTGAAGGGCGTGCCCCTGCTGCAGAGGCTGTGTGGAGTGAGGAGTCAGATGCCATGGGAGGGGCAGGCGGGGCAGCTGGAGGGGGCGCAGCCCAGTGTGTCGGGCCAGTGGCCTTTGGATGTTCTCTGTGGACAGTGAGCCCGGGAGCTCGTGCAGTGCTGTGCCCGGGGGCCTGCATTTAAAATCGCTGATCACAAGGCTTCAGGAACCTGGCTTGGGTGCGGGAGGGCTCCCGCCTTCCCCAGCCAGTGCCCGGAGAAGCATGGGCACTAACTCGTGTCTCCTATCTGCTCCGCCTGCCAGGTGTGTCCAGAAAGCAGCAGGAGCATCCGGGAGGTGCAGTGCGCGTCCTACAACAACAAGCCGTTCATGGGCCGGTTTTACGAGTGGGAGCCGTTCGCAGAAGGTAAGGACCCACCTGGCCCTGCCTAGGAACTGTTCAAGGCCGGTCTCCCACCTGCTGGCGGCAGGGCTGTGGTCGCCGGTGCAGTGTGCACAAGGGACAAAATCCGATCCTGAGGCAGGGGGAGCTTGCAGGGGTCATCACGAGAGGCCGCGTAGCTACCTGGACAGCGGGTGGGTAAGGGGAGGATGGACACAAAGAAGCGACGTGCGGGTGGGCAGTGGGTGGGGCTTCTGGGCAGTGGGCGGGGTGATGGGCGGGGCTCCAGGAAGCAGTGGAGCCAGGCTGGAGGATGGAGTGCCCTCTCCTTGGCTCAACTGCGACCAGAGCCGTGTGGGGTGCGGACTCAGAGCTGGTGACATTCACACGTGGGGGCCTCGCGTGCAGCTTCACAGGACAGGAGGCGTGGGTGGACCTTGTCCCCATCGTCCACCACGGTGGAGGATCCAGTGCCGCACCTGTGCCCCTAAGACCCAGAGGACTGTGTGGTGTTTCACTGAGTCGGGTCTGAGTCCTCTCTCTCCCATCACGGAGGACACAGGCTCACAGGCAGTGCTGGGACAGGCATGGGGGTGGCTCCTGTTGGCTGCAGGGGAGGAGTCTAGTTGCCTTTGAGGGACCAGAGAGGAGCCCGTCCAGCCCTTGGGAGCCCCATGTGGGCAGCCACCGGGCAGCTGTTGCTGGGAGTGACACAGGTGGGCCTGGAGCAATGTGCCGGTGCTGGGTGTGGAGGGAGAGTGGGGAGAGGGCTCGGTCCTCAGCCCCTGACTGCGCCGCAGGTCACTGCTGGGCAGCCACACGAAGGCCCCGGCCCCGGGGAGGGTGGGCGCCTGCGCCGTGAATTGGATGCAGGGTTGGTTCTGTCGAGGCGTTTTTCCCGGGGAATGGGTGGGTGGGTGAGGAGGAGGTAGCCTGCAGTTTCTGCTAGACTGTCAGCTATCTCAGAGTCGTGAGGAGCTGACTTGCTGGCCAGTCGGCACAGCAGAGCCAGCAGGAGCCGTGTGCAGAGGCCTGTGAGCTGACGGGGTGCAGATGGGAGGCCTGGGAGGGTGAGCCAGGAGGGAGGCTCTGGTTGTCCCGCGAGAGCTTGGCTCCGAGTTTTCCATTCTTACAGGCCTTGTGCTGGACCCGGGGGGCCCTACTGGGGCCCTAGAGCAGAAGAGGGGCGTGATGGGAATGCCGAGGGGCGTGATGGGAATGCCGAGGGGGGCAGTCTCGGCGCTGTGCTGGTGCCTGCCACTTTGCTGTTGCTCGTAGGTCGTGGTTTCATCAGCTGCAGGGAGGGGACACGGCCTCTCGGCCCTGCTTCTGTGACTCTCCCACAAGTCTCGGGATTTCAAAACACAATTTTTTTGACTTATTTATTTGGAAGGCAGAGTTTACGGAGAGAAAGGAAGAGACAGAGAAATCCTCTATCTCCTGGTTCAGTCCCCAGTTAATTGGAGCTGGACTGCTCCACAGCCAGGAGCCAGGAGCTTCCTTAGGTCGCCCACATGGGTACAGGGGTCCAAGGACTTGGGCCATCCTCCACTGCTTTCCCAGGAGTATTAGCAGGGAGCTGGATGCAGAGTGGAGCAGCCGGGACTAGAACCAGTGCCCATATGGGATGCCAGCATTGCAGTTGGTGGCTTTACCCACCACGGCACAGCGCTGGCCCCAGTACAAATGTTTGAGAAGGCACCGAGTGACCCAGGGCACCTGCTGCATCCGCCCACCTTATGTCCTTCCTGGAGCGTCGAACTTGACCCTGAGTGCAACAGGGTCCCAGCTTAGTTGTGTTGGGTTCATCCTGGAATCTTGAAGGCCTGTGTTCATGCACAGGGACAGAGACACACAGGTGGGCGCCCAGCCATGAGGGCAGGGCAGGGGCTGGGGTGATGCACCTGACTCCCAGTAGCCTGAGGAAGATGCAGGAGGGGTCCTCACCTGGAGCCCCCAGAGTGGCAGGACCCTGCTGGCATCTCACACGTCAGCAGCCTCCACAGCCCTGCGAGCAAATTCCTGAGGTTTTCGGCCGCCTGTCCCTGGTGTTTGTCATAGCAGGGGCAGGGCCGGGCTGGGTTGAGCTACGCCTGTGTGCACAGTTCAGGAAGGGTGTTGGCCTGGGCCAGGGCAGCTGTTACCTGGGAAAATGGAGACAGCATCCAGGGTGAGCAGCTGCCTCGCAGGTCAGCACCTCTACAAGGCCCTGGTTCTTGGCCCCCATTACCCAATGGAGTCACTGGAGAACCTTCTAGACAAACTCCTGCCCAGGCCCAACCGTCAGCGATTGAGATTGAGTTGGCATGGGGTGCAGCCTGGGCACTGGGGTTGCCAGGTGATGTGGCAGCAGCCAGACAGAGGACCCCTAACCCCAGGGGGAGGCAGGGTCCCAGGAGCAGTGGTGCCTCTCACCTGAGTCCTGGGTGACGTAGAGACCACGAACTCTTCTGTGATGTCAGAACAGCTGTACCTGTCAGTTGGTCGGAGCTGTGTCCTGCTTTGTTGTGATTTCCGGGGAGAGGAGGAACTGTGCACTGCCGCACAGCCACCCTGTGCCCCACGCGTGCCCCTATGGCCTGGGGAGCTGGCCCTGCACTCCCAGACCCTGTCTGCACCGGGAGGTCCTCCCCGGCTGGCCGCTGCTGTCCAGGGCCTCAGCAGCAGGTCCCTGCAGGTCTGATGCCGGCAGAGAGAACCTCGTGCTTCTGGCCTCACTTGTTGCACACCTTGGTGGCAGGCACGTCTGGTGTGTGAGGGGCTCTGCCCTTCCTGGTCCTCCCCTGCTCCTCGTGTGTGAGGGACTTGAGCTCAGCTTTGGAAAAGTTGCTTTCCATTGGTGGAGTGGTGGTGGTGGTGGTGGGGTTGACACCTGAGTTAAAGAGAGAATGATAATAGTGGAATAGTGGAAGAATAAGCTCCCCCAAACCCATCCATGAATTTCAGTGGATTGTGGTTGGTGCCATAAACCAGCCTTTTCAAAAAATAACGCCACCCAGATGATGGGAAGTGATTGGAGAGTGTTGTTCATTGGTGGATGCATGGATCAGAACTCTGGGTTCTGACGTGACAGAAACCCAAACCACATACATCCACGGAGACAAGAAAGGTGTTTTGTTGGTTGGGTTGTGGGCTGGGACTGGGGGCTCGGATGTGGCTATAGTCCTCTCTCTGTGTCTCTCTCTGTCTCACGCATGTACAGTTCTTTGCCTTCCTGGTTGGGCAGGTGAGTGGTCTTCCCTGGCTGTGAGCTCGTGGCTGTGTTGGGAATGACCACTGACTCCATCTTCTTTGGTGTTGTGGTCCCTGCCCCCACGACTGTACCCTTCTTGGAAGTATTCTCTGCAGACGTGGTGGGGGTGCACTCTGGAGCAGGGTAGGCCCTGACCACTGGGGCACTCAGAGGCCGCGTGAGGACCCTGCTGGGGAGACCACCTGTGAACAGGATGCGCCAGGCAGCGGCTGTAGGGGTTGCCATGGCTGCCTTCAGAAGCTGGCAGGACGCAAGGAAAGCTGTCTCCCTGGGGACCTGGGGCCCGGCCCTACCGGTGCCCGATGTCACACCTCTTTCCTGTCTACACCTCCCAGCTATGTCACAGTTTTGGCAGCTGTTGGAGACCACAGCGCCTGGTGCTGGACTTGGTTGTGGCAGTCTTGTCTGGGATCACGTTCCCATCTCTGGGTGGAAGTTTGGGGCAGTGGGTGCCTAGGCTAGCTCAGGTCGTGCAACCAACCATAGGCTTGGGGACACACGTCATAGGAAGTGGAGACAGAGCCGTGGGGACCAGGATGGAAATCTGGGTATGCTCCCTGACTACAAGCCCCCAGCATCCTTAATGAGCCAATGAGAACCCTGGGGTTTTACAAAGTAAAGAAAATACATAGTAGAGAAATCAACTGTGCTGTCCATTGTGTCCCTAGACAACTCAGCATACTTTTTTTTAAGGTTTATTTTATTTGTTTGAAAGCCAGAGTTATAGAAAGAAGGACGTCTTCCATCCGCTGGTTCACTCCCCAAATGGCCCCAATAGCCAGGGCCTGGGCCAGACCAAATCCAGGAGCCAGGAGCTTTATCCAGGTCTCCCACATGGGTGCAGGGGCCTCAGGACTTGGGCCATCTGCTGCTACTTTCCCAGGTGCATTAGCAGGGAGCTGGATCAGAAGTGGAGCAGCCTGGACTTGAACTGGCGCCCATACAGGATCCTGGCGCTGCAGGCAGTGACATCACCGAACGCCAGTTTCATCTGTTGTCCCACAGTGGTGGTCCCAGCAGACTTTTGACGCAGCCACTGGTGCAGGTGCTCATCACTGGTCCAGGAGGGCAGAGGGAGCCGCTGGCGGGGAGTGGAGGGCAGAGGGAGCCGCCGGTGGGGAGCAGGCTGGGTTTAAAGCCTTCCCTGTGCTGCTGGGGTTGCTGGGTGTCCTTCCTGCTAAAGAACCCCCAGACCGACCGAGGGGAGGAAGCACAGCGAATGTTCCTGTAGGTGTTGTTGCTGCTGGAGGCTGGAGTGTACATCGTTGGGTCTGGGATGGCTTTATAGGAACACTCTTGTTTCAATGCTGATGTGGGACAAATTAGTTGAGTCTCTCCCCCGGGGCCAGCGTTGTGGCACAGCAGGTGAAGCTGCCCTTTGTGATGCCAGCATCCCATATCGGAGCACTGGTTCGAGTCCTGGCTGCTCTGTTTCTACCCCAGCTCCCTGCGAATGCACCCGTTCATGCCACGTGCAGGGCCGCGGCTCAGCTCGCACCTCCCCTGCAGGAAGGAGCAGGGACCAGTGAGTCGTGCGTGGGTCCTTGGAGCCTCTGCCACAGTTGGTGCCTGCGGGTTCTGCTCAGCCGTCATTGGGGTCACAGGTCACACCTTCCTGTGTGCTGAGGAGGAGGAGAGGTGGAGTGACTGTGCCGGCCCCGTGACTGGCAGGTGCATGCCTCCCAGGCCCAGGTGAGCTCTGTTAGGTCGTCAGAGGCGCTGTCCAGCCTCTGATAGCCGCGTGGATCCAGTTCTGCCCAGTGTCAGTGCTGATGCCGGGTGCTCCGCCATCCAGCACTCTGCCCCAAAGCAGAATGATAGGATATCCTGGAGTGATAGAATCTTCCAGAATGAAGGAACATACTGGATCATGACTGGCCTGTGTTATACAGTACAGATGGTCCCCAACATCCATGGGCCCCACAAGAGGTTGAAGATGCCGATGCTGCAGCTCAGGAAGACGCCCTGGGGCTGCAGACCCCTCTTTAAAGCATCTCAAGGTGAGACAGCAGGCAGAGGCTCCGCCGTGAGACAGGCAGGGCGGCCCCAGGGCTGGGGAGGGCGCCAGGCGTTCACAGAGGAGGGCGATTGCTGATGTCGGTGAAGGTGGACGTTGCAGTTGCTCAGGTTCCTCTGACTCCACAAGGAGCATCGTGGGCTGAGTGTCTGTGCCCTCCAGTGTTCTCCCGTTGGAGCCCTGCCCCCACACACCGTGGGGTTGCTGGGACATAGCGGTGAATGAGGTCATTGCACGGACAGAGCCCTGGTCTGCCCACATTCGATGGATGAGGTCATCGGATGGACGGAGCCCTGGTCTGCCCACATTCGATGGATGAGGTCATCGGATGGATGGAGCCCTGGTCTGCCCACATTCGATGGATGAGGTCATCGCATGGACGGAGCCCTGGTCTGGTCACATTCGATGGATGAGGTCATTGCACGACAGAGCCCTGGTCTGCCCACATTCAATGGATGAGGTCATTGCATGGACAGAACCTTGGTCTAGTCGTATTCAATGGATGAGGTCATTGTGTGGACAGAATCCTAGTCTAGGCACATTCGATGGATGAGGTCATTGCATGGATGGAGCCCTGGTCTGCCCACATTCGATGGATGAGGTCATCGCACGGATGGAGCCCTGGTCTGGTTGCATTCGATGGATGAGGTCATTGCATGGACAGAGTCCTGGTCTACCCACATTTGATGGATGAGGTCATCGCATGGACGGAGCCCTGGTCTGCCCACATTCGATGGATGAGGTCATCGCACGGATGGAGCCCTGGTCTGGTTGCATTCGATGGATGAGGTCATTGCATGGACAGAGTCCTGGTCTGCCCACATTGGATGGATGAGGTCATCGCATGGATGGAGCCCTGGTCTAGGCGCATTCGATGGATGAGGTCATCGCATGGATGGAGCCCTGGTCTGCCCACATTTGATGGATGAGGTCATCGCATGGACGGAGCCCTGGTCTGCCCACATTCGTGTCCTTGCAAGGAGAGGAGCAGACCCCAGAGCACCCAGTGCTGCATGAGGTTGAGGAGGAGGCCTGGAGGGAGAGAAGGCTCTGGATGACTGTAGGCTGCTTTCCCTTTGAAAAGTTGCCATGGAGAAGGCACTTCTGGGCGTTTGCTGAGTTTCAGGGGAAAGAGATGGGCTTGTGGCGTGCAGCTGGCTGGCCACCGAGAACGCAGCCTGACTCCGTGGAGCAGCGGTGGCAGAGGAAACACACAGGTAGGCCTCCCCCAGGGTCTGCACTGCAGCTCCTCTCCAGGTGTGTCAGAAGGCTCTTCCCCAAGCATTGTCACTCAAAAAGACGGACTGAAAATTGTCAATGGCCCCTTTGTTCACGACAGCTGCAGACTGGAAGCAGCCCAAGTGCCCATCAGCGGGAGGTTAAGTCGGCAGCGTGTGCTGCATTCAGACAGCGGAGCAGAGTGAAAGGCGAGCGCCTGGTTGTGTGTGAAGGAGCCCAGATGAATCGCGGAAGCATCCTGCCAGGCAACATGGGCCACATAGAAGGGTACAGACTGTTGGGTTCCACTTAGGTGCTGCTGTGGGGCAGGGAAAACGGGCTCCGGGATCGGAGTCAGAGCAGCGCTGCCTATGCCGAAGGGAGGGGTGGCTGGAAAGGGGCATTGTGGACCCTGCTGGAATATGGGGCCTTTGGCTTGACGGAACATTCTGGAATATGGGGCCTTTGGCTTGACGGAACATTCTGGAATATGGGGCCTTTGGCATGATGGAATGTTCTGGAATATGGGGCCTTCTGGAATGACGGAACATTCTGGAATGGTGAGACCTTTGGCATGATAGAATGATCTGAAATGAGAATATCCTGGAATGATGGGGCCTTCTAGAATGATGGAACATTCCAGAATTATGGGACCCTTGGAGTAACAGAATGTTCTGGAATGATGGTACATACGGGATCATGACTGGTGTATGTTGTTGCTCAGTGTATACAGCTGTCAAAAATCCATGGACCAGCGGCCGGCCCAGTGGTGTAGTGGGCTAAGTGTCGGCATCCTGTATGGGTGCTGGTTCGAGTTCCAGCTGCTCCACTTCCAGTCCAGCTCCCTGGTACAGCCTGGGAAAGCAGCAGAGTTCTTGTTCTTGGGCCCCTGCACCCATGTGGGAGATCAGGAAGAAGCTCTTGGCTCCTGGCTTCAGATTGGCCCAGCTCCAGCCATCGTGGCCATTTGGGGAGTGAACCAATGGATGGAAGACCTCTCTCTCTCTCTCTGTCCCTCCTTCCTCCCTCCCCCTCCGCCTCTGCCTCTCTCTGACTCTGCTTCTCTGTAACTCTTCCTTTCAATAAATGATCTTTAGAACAAAACAGAATCCGAGGACCAGCACAGTTATGATCTGAGCATTTTATTGTGCGTAAATTAGACTTTTGGAAACTCGTTATTTGTGCTCTGCCTCTATTCCTGACGGTGAGGCCTGGGGCCAGAGTGACCAGTTTATTGCGTGGTCTCCCTTCAGCGTGGCGTCTGACCACTAGAGGCAGAACGGAGGGAGCAGGGGCTGAGCGGGCGCCGGCCGTGGTGGGAAACACAGACACAGAGGGCAGGAGGGGTCTGGTCCGGGAGCTGCAGGACTTCTGTGCCTCTTGTCCCCTGCTCCCCGTCTTCCTGGGCTCTGGCAGCCCCCTTGCCACGGGGGCTTCGGTGTGTGCACCACCACCGGACACGCCTGCTTCTGCGTGGCTGTCTGGCTGAGGAGCGGGGAGCACGTGGGCAGAGAAGCCCTCGCACCAACACGGGTCTTCTCACCAGGCAGCGCAGGGAGCGGAGCGGGAGGGATGGAGGTCACAGTGGCTCCTGCTGTGGCGTGTGCGACGCCTGTGCCAGCAGTGCCTTTGCTGGCACCAGGGTTGCTGGCATTCTGGGTGTTGAGCAGGGAAGCCCCGGGCTGTATTTCCGCATCGGGTAAGGAGATTGGTCTAAATGGGCGTAAGTGTAAGGATTTGCAGCCGAGCATAGAACTCAGGCCTATTGCAGAATAGCAAATAATGCGGCGTGAGGCCCACCCCTGTCATTGCTGTCTCCCCAGAGCTCAGCTTTCTGCGGAGCCCACCTGGCTCTGCCCTGCCGGGCGGCTGTGAAAATGCTCATACAGCCTTGCCCAGTGTGTGACGTTCCTGTTGCAGATCGGACAGCCCACACTGGGTCAGGGCACGGGGCTCGAGGAGGAGGGTACCTAGGCACAGCCCCACGAGCTGAGGGCGTCAGCGGCCACAGAAGTGACCCACCCACGTATCAAGCCAGGACGGATTCATTGCCTTTCTCACATGGAAACACACCACCCCAGGAAACACTGGGCCTCTGTCAGAATCGTGGGCAGCTCAGTCCCCCAGCCCTGAGCAGAGGTCCCCGCACTGTCCCCTGGTGAGGACCTGTCCTGTTGCACCTTGCACAGAAGTCCAGAAATTAGCACCTGGCCCTCAGGGGTGGGATCTGCAGAGTCAGGGTTTAAGGCTAGACCATGGTGGTGCCTGAGTGCCATTTGCCTTTGCATATTTCTCAAAGGCCCTCCCCTCCCCATGAGTCCCTCCCCAAGCTGTCTGTCTGCACTTCTCAGACCTCACCATGGGGACTTGTCGCAAGGAATTAAAGGGGACGTCTGTTGTGTGCCTGTCGTCCGAGGGCGAGCCGGGGAGAGACTGGGCATCCCTGCTTCTCCTGGGTAGGATTTGCCTCTTCACGTTCATAGGGTGCCACACAGGTCTGCCCTGGGGTGACTATTTTCTGGCTCCTTTTTGGAGCCACGTGCAACGTGCTGTCATCCTGACTGTTCTCTGTGGCATTCAGCACACAGGCCATGACAGGCTCCTTTGCCTGTGCCAGCCCTGCTGGAGCCTGGCTCTGCTGTGCTGGGCTTGGGAACAAGCAGTGTCTCTGGGGTTGATTGATGATGTCTTGTTTGGCCATAGGAAGGGCACTGCCTCTGTCGCATCTCTGCTTTATGGAGTTCAGTTGTTCACCATGAAAAAGATTTATTTATTCATTTGAAAGCCAGGAACCAGGAGCTCCGTTTGGGTTTCCCACATGTGTGCAAGGGGCCCAAGCACTTGGGCCATCTTCTACTGCTTTCCCAGGCTGTTAGCAGGGAGCTGGATCAGAAGTGGAACAGCTGGGACTCAATCCGGCATCTGTATGGGATGCTGGCATCGCAGGTGACACCTTAACCTGCTGGCCACAGCACCTGCCTGTAGGTTTCAGTCTTGTGGCTACACAGGGGCCGTGAATTCTGCTAGTTGTCTGGAACTTGTTATGAACCGGGGTGATTCCTCAACGTTCACAGAGTTTGCCAAGCACTGCTGCCGATGCCTGCGATAAAGCTTCTGACTTCTAAAGTACAGATGTGGGTGGCACGCCATTGTTCCTTGTCCCAACGTGTCCCTACCTGAAGTTCAATAAAAATCAAACAACTGCGTCTTTGATTGTAATTTTCCAAGAGAAGGCTTTGGATGGCTGTGATGGTCAGGAGCAGGCCCTGTTTTCTGGGATACTCCTTTAAGGTCAGGATTCTCTCAGGGGAGCAGGAGTTTAGCCTAGTGATTAAGACTGGTTAGGATACCAGCGTCCCACATTAGAGTACCAGGGCTGGATTCCAGCTTTGGCTCCTGACTTCACCTTCCTGCTAACGTGCACCCTGGGACACAGCAGGTTATGACTGTAGTAGGTGGGTCCTTGTCACCCATATGGGAAACCTGGGGGGAATTCCTGGCTTCTGGCTTTGGCCTCGCCCAGCCCTGGCCATTGTGGGTATCTAGGGGTGTGAACCAGTGAGCGCGAGCTCTGTCTTGTCTATTTATCTCAATGTCTCTGTCAGTTACATCGTTTTAAAAAAATGCTGTGCTAGGGGCTGGCACTGTGACATAGTGGGTGAAGCCGCTGCCTGCAACACCAGCATCCCACATGGGCACTGGTTCGAGTCCCAGCTGCTCCACTTCTGATCCAGCTCCCTGCTAGTGCACCTGGAAAAGCAGCAGAAGACGGCCCAAGTGTTTGGGTCACTGCACTCAAGTGGGAGACCCAGAAGAAGCTCCTGGCTTCAGTCTGGCCCAGCCCCAGCCATTGTAGCCATTTGGGGAGTGAGCCAGCTAATGGAAGACCTCTCTCTCTCTCTCTCTCTCTCTGTGTGTGTGTGTGTATCTGTCTCTCCCTCTCTTTCTCTGTAACTTTTTCCAATAAATAAGATAAATCTTTAAAAATAAATCAAGTGCTGTTCCATCCAACACACACAGAGGAAAATCAGTTTCCATCATGGGCTGACGTCTCCATCATCGCTGGGCTTTGCTCTGCGTTCGGGTTGCACTTCCAGGCTGTATCGGAGGCTGCGTCCACTGCAGTTAAATGACACAGAGGTGGCAGCCCGTGACTCGTGTGTGAGCTACTCTGCTTCCAAACGCCGCCCGTCCACACGCAGATGGGGGGCAGTGCTTGCTGGGTGCTGAGGTCACGCGTGCCGTCACCACACCCGACAGCCGAGACACAAGCTTCACCAGCAGCGAACCAGCAGCGAGGTCCTTGCCAAACACTTTGTAACTGAGCACGTCGGAGTGCGTGCTTCCCCACCAGGACTAGCTCTGGGTCATTTCACCCGGAACGAGGAAGCCTGCGCCCTCACACCGTCTCTGTCCCCCGGGAGGTGCCCTCACACCGTCTGTCCCCTGGGAGGCACCCTCACACTGTCTCTGTCTCCCCAGGAGGCACCCTCACACCGTCTGTCCCCTGGGAGGCACCCTCACACTGTCTCTGTCTCCCCAGGAGGCACCCTCACACCGTCTGTCCCCCGGGAGGCGCCCTCACACCGTCTCTGTCCCCCGGGAGGCGCCCTCACACCGTCTGTCCCCCCCGGGAGGCGCCCTCACACCGTCTGTCCCTCCCGGGAGGCGCCCTCACACCGTCTCTGTCCCCCGGGAGGCGCCCTCACACCGTCTGTCCCCCCCGGGAGGCACCTTCACACCGTCTCTGTCCCCCCGGGAGGCGCCCTCACACAGTCTGTCCCCCCCGGGAGGCGCCCTCACACCGTCTGTCTCTCCAGGAGGCGCCCTCA